TATATATATATATAAGTGCAATATTTATATTTGCTTTATTTAATTACTTTGGTCTTGCTTCTTTTATAATTGCAGTTAAAAATAGAGTCTACAAAAATAGTAACTTATATTTGTGATCAAGTATTACCACAGTGGGACAAAATTGCACAGGTAAACCAAGGAGAACTTTTACAGTTAGTAATACTGAGACAACTAGCAGAGCTTAGCACTTATTGTGGTAAATTAGATAATGCTACTCACTACATAAGCCAAATTTATGATAAATTAAGGGTAAAAGATTGTCTTTGCTATTTATTGTAAAACATTTAATACTAATTTTTACAGCAATACATGCCTCCCCCACCTGAAAATCCGGATTTAATAACAATGCCGTTCCTCGACTTTTCAGTGGTTGAATGTCTGCTATATGCTTTTCATAGATTAGCCCGTCAGTGCCCTGAATTTTTGACCCAAGATCAGGCACTTTTGAAGGATTTTCGAGCAAGACTAATGTACTTTTCAAGAGGAGTTCAAGGCTGTAGTAAAGCTCTGGCTAATTTAGAGAAAAAGAAAGAAGGCTTGTCTCCAGAAGAAACGCAAAAACAAAAAATTTCTCCCAAGTTACTGAATAATATAAATATGCTAATCAAAGATCTTTTTTATCAGCCGCCTATGTATAAGTGCAATGTCACACTTTCCTTCAAGGCTGAAGAAACCATTGCAAAGGTAAAATACTAGTTAACTGAAATTACGCAATTCTAAAAATAAGTTGTTTTTTCAGACTCCGGAAAAAGCACCAGTGGGAAATAAAAGGCACGTTCCGATTACCTTCGAAAGCAATGGAGCCAGTTCCGCTAATAAAAATACGAAAAAATCCTCAGATGGTATGAAATTATACACCCCACCAAGTGGAAAATTCAGTAATAATTTCCAAAGTTATGGTAAATAGTTTTTATATTACATTTTTCTAATTGTAAGTAGAAAATGGAGACTTGTAAAAGAATAAACTAAAAGACTAAACCACTAAATTTTTTCAATATAAGGAAAAAGTTTAATAACTAATGAATCTCCGTTTTATTTTTTTTTGTATTTTTCTAATTAGTACTGTTTAAAGGTGGCAGAGGGAGACCCAGGGGATCTAGAGGAAGTCGAGGACGAGGTTCAGGAAGGGGATGGCGTTAGAATCAATGTTATTTAATTTTGTTTGACACCACTACAATATTTTCCTTTAATGTAGTTAACTATTTCTTTTCATAAAGTCGAAAATCACATTTTATTTTTTGTATCTCTTTTTTTAACATTTATTGTATATGGATAATAAGGTAGTTGTTCATAGTTGTGTCAGTATAAATAAAAAGGATATGTCCATCCAAATTAACTCCTGAAAGAATGTTGTGTGCAGGAAATAAATGTAGAATTTCAATAAAAGTTTTCTTACTTGCAAATGTTTTATTANAAATGAAACAAAGTGAAAGACAAGCAAGAGGTATGATGGACGCAGATGATGAGGATTACAGTGCCGATCATCACCCACCCATGAAGGATCAATCGAAAGCTACAGCTGTTGATCCCTGGGCAAATTATTACGACTTCATAATTAACGAAGGATCATTTAAATTCTGGGCAGTGTTCCAGGTATTTAAGCAAATACACATTTTAGAAGAAAATATTATCCTTAAATAAATTGTTTACTTTTAGTTGGGAACTGCTTTACTGCTCATATATTCGGCATTCGCTGCAGTATATTACGCAAAATTTAACGTCTCCAGTACTGATTATGATTACTATTACGATTTCTTCGCAAGATCAAACAGTGGCAGATCAGATACTACAAGTTGGCTAGGGATTTCCCCACAAACGTTTCAAAGGATAATAGACGCAATATCATCAAAAAAGTACTCATAATGGTGGACCTAAAGTGCAAAAATTTAAATAAAACCTCTGCTCAAATTAACTATAAGCATTACTAGTGACAATTGGTTAACATTTTGCACTTGTTTTTCTACGTTATTAGATATTAGATTTGGGCAAATTTCCCGAATTACCCTAATGGTGATAACGAATTTGGAAATTTATTTATTAATAATGAAGCTGTTAAAGCATATTGGAATTTCGAATATTATCATTTTTATTATTCTCATTAGTATGATTTTATTTATTAGTTTAGAAACAAATGTGAATTTCTAAGGTGTATTAACAGCTTAACGATTATGTGTAATTAAAATAAAATACGAAAAAACAGATTTTTTTTCACTAAATCAAGTTTAGTGGTAACATAAACCTTGGTGCCTTTGTTTTTCCTATTTCATAAAAAGGATAATAATTATCCAGCATAAGCTGTAGTAGTTAATGCTAGCGCCATCTGCTCTGCAAACTGGAATGTGGAGGACACATAGATGGGTCTGACCCCTCCCTTTCTTTTGGTGGATGAACTTTTAGTGTCGGTTTTCGAACCAACGCATAGATGGCCCAAAAGGTACAACCCCTATACAAAAATACGGATTTTATCGATTCGTATGAGAAAAAAGTGGTATACAAATTCAATGCTGAATTTGTTCACAAAATTCGTTCATTAACATCGATGTTAACAAATGATGATTTTTGGAAAGCTGGTTTGTTTTGATAATACAGGGCGACAAATGTTTTTGGACAAAACCAATTTTGATATTTTTAAAATTATTAATGTAGCTGAAAACCTAAAATCTTTTAATAACAATTCCGATTAGTAAGAATGTGGTATGTGGATTATATACAATGATGCACCAAAGTAGACTCATGAGTTATTAACAGCAACATTATGGAGTTGGGGAATTGGTAAAGGTGGACCACACTTATGATTTGCTCGATCTCCCTGGGCTTAAACTCTCAGACAATCCGCCACTGGAAAATGTGGAAGATTTGAAAAATCAGAAATTGCATGATTTAAAACGTTCTTATTGTCGCAAAACATTTATCGTCCTATACCTTCATCAATAAAAACGCTTTCCAAAGATCATTAAAAACAGTATTATTCATAAAATAAACCGAGAAAGTATATCTTCAAGTTTTGTCGCGTATTTCATATATAACACCAGAATACTATTTTAGATTCGAACGAGTTTTCAAAAAATATGTTTATTCACATATGAATATTTCTAATTGACTCTGTTTTTTTAATTTGTAGTTAAACGTTGTGCATAGTAATCATTTATTCCGGCGAAAGGGGTTGTTCAAAAAATTTAACACGTTAAGCTTATAATATGGTAGTTATATCTCAGAATTTTGAGCTACTACAATCGTAGAATTTGAACTATATTAAAAATATCCAAAATTCGTAAAAAAATCAATATTGAATTGTTTTTTATTCGTTATGACGTTAATACTTTTTCCATAAAAAGAAATAACCAGCTCGGCATTCCTTGATCGCTAAGTCCCTGATTAAACCTAATAAGGGCGTCAAGTTATCTTTTTCTCGGAAAGTAGGTAGTATGTTTCCAAAAATTTCTAAACTTTTAAAATTAATCGTATTAATTCCAAAAATTTACAGACTAATTCTCAAACTTTAAGCGTTTGGTTGTGCAAAGGAGTTTGGCGTTCGAAAAAGAAAATGGTTGTTTTCTTTATCCAGCTAAAGCTCTAAGACTGTAATAGCTAAAAATCTGTAAAAATTCTGAGGCATAGCTATTTTTATAAGGTTGACGTTTGCCAAGTTTTTAATTTTTTCAATAATCAGTCTGGCCGAATTAAATAATTGTTTATTTAATGCCGAAATTCAATGTTTTTCAGATAGAAAATTTAAATTGTCGACATATTAAGAAAGAGACTTGAAATTTTTTTAACTGTTTCGAAACGTATGAGCCCCTGGGAGTTTAAAAATTCGAAATTTGTCGAAATAAGGACCACCCTAATGTACATGACACCTATATATTGTGCAATAATCGTCAAGCAAGGAGCGAGGTCTAAATAATTTCAAATTTAAAAGCAAAAATGTAACTGAAACTTAAATTTAAAACTCTTAAAATAGCGTCTGTTTTATTTCTTGTTTTGTCCCTTCTTCGAATTTTAGGTCTGACTGCAATGTGCAACCGACCTTTCGATGGTATCAAAAATATACGTAACACAAAATAAAATAGATATTTCTTTATTAATAATCTGAAAGTACCGATTTTATACAAATCAGACTACTGACGAAGAGTATTTATTTGTTCTCCTTGCAAATGCTGTTAACAATAGGTACTTGGTCGGCTTCAACTTTTATAGGCAAACAAGTTTGACGAACAACGTTATAAAATTCTAAGAAAAATTCTGTTTATCAAATAACATTCGGTATTTCTGACACATTTTGCTGAAATGACTTATTACATATGCAAACGATTTCTATTAACTAATAATAATAACTTATTAGAAATATTTTGTTAAGTTATTAACCAAAAGTTTTGACTACTGACTTAAATATTACTTAAAAATTAAAAGGAAGACACCCCTAATTACCACAAAAAAGTTTTTGAACGGACACGTGTTTCGTCCACTTCATACGTGGGCATTATCA